CTCTTTCCACTGAGGTGATTGAACATTAAGATATATGGAGGTGAAACTACTAGATGAAAGTAGGACTTACTAAGTCTGAAGTTGGCCCAGTTTTTCTGTTTGCTTGTCTATGAAAAACCATGACTATGATTTTTATTTTTTACTCCTCAGGCTTCCAGAACCTCCAGCTTCAGTGCCAAACCCTCCATCAAAGGTAAGAAGCTGTGACTAAGCTATCTTTGGAGGACTTAGAAAAATATTATACTTTTGCCACATAAATTTAGTTTAGTATATTTTAAAACATATTTCATTCAACTTATGTGGAATAAAGATTATACTGGGCTCTTCATCAGTATTTTTATTTCTGTGGCTTTTACGTGAATGATAAAGTGCTGTGAGAATCAAAGAGTTGATTTTAGCTGGATACCTATGTCAAAATATTAAAGAAGTATAATTAAAATTAAGTCTTCTTGAGTGAGCTAGATCCTGTAATTAACTTTATTAATCACCAGGAATACTCTAGAACTAAAACTCATTTTTCCAAATATAATTGTCATGGGCACAAAGGCACATAGAGCATGTTTTTTGCAACACAGAGAAGCTATCAGTGGAAAACCTTTCCCCTTCCAGATGTTCTCAAACTGCCACCCACAGCTCCTCTGCACTGTGGGCTATGGCCTAGGTTTGCCTCCCAGATATAGGGAGTAGAGAAGCCAGCTATAAACCACACTTGAGAGCAAAGAGTAGCATCCCAAAGTCCAGGCGTGATCGCAGACCAGTGAGCGCTGCTTAGACACAGGGAAGTAAACACATGCAACAGCTTGTCAGTGAGGTCATTCTCCTGCCAGAAGAGTAATGAGTGCTTTGCAAATGAATGTAAAGTGGGTGTTAAACAACTTTCCTTTTTCCCTGCTTTCGAGGTGACCAACATGCTCAGGATATTTTTTTTTTAATCATTCCTGTTTGAGGGTGGTCATGGCTCTAAAAACATTCATTACTTTGACTTTTAGAAAAGGACATAAAATTTAAAGTGCATCAGTGTTAGTTGTGGGCCTTTTTCAGCAAATTGCCCAAGGAGGTTCATCTTTACTTCTCTGGAAGAATAGTACTGGAGGAAGTCATTTGGTGTAAGATGTAAAGTTATTCTAGGTCAGACCCACATTTCTTCCAGTTCAGTAGTGAACCTCTGACAACAGCACCAGGGGACATAGATATAGTTGTCTTGCTCTAACTAAGAGGACAGGTGTACTTGTTTCTTTCTTACTTCTCTCCCTCCACAAGCTAAGCATATTTCTTTCTCCCAAATATCTGTCTTCCTTAGTAACATAGAGATCATTCATGAATGGATCAAAACCTATACTTCAAGGTTTTAGCCTTTGATACTGTTGCTGGAGGGTAGGTTCTTGTTTTGTCGCAGAAAGAATTCAGAGCTGAGACTGAGAGGCCAAGTAAGCAAAGGACTTATTGAGTGACAGTACACTCTCAGGAGGGAGCGCAGGCAGGCTCAGGTGAGCAACAGTGAGTCCTTTCGGCAAGCTGGTCACACGGGGTGTGAAAATGACTGGGTGGAATATTCATCAAGGAGGGAGGGGTTTGGGGGGTAATTTCCTGGTTTTCATCCCAGGTCCACCTTCCCGAGAGGAGGGGCAGTTTCTGTCCTTATTTGGCTTTGCTCGGATCTGTCGTGGTGCCGGTGCATGATGGGTACTGCTCTGGTTGCAGTGCTAATTCTAGTGTAATGAGGGCATGACGAGCAAAAGGTTACATTCCGACCAGCAGGTTCCTGCCTTTCTTTGTTTGCCTCTAGGACCCTTGTCTTCACAAGATATATGGTCTCCTGTCAGCGCGGAGCTTCCCGCTTTCCTGTGTTTGCCCCTAGAACCCCTGTCATTGCAAGATGTATTATGGTCTCCTGTCACATGACCTGTGCCTCCCTCCTCTGCTCATGTCTGGCTAACTGCCTGCTCTAACGGTTCCCCCCTCGAGGAGTCTGGACCCTTAAAATCTTTTAAGGGTCAAAGGGTCGATGGTCCGTCTTCCATAGCTGCTTCAAGCTGAGCAGGGGCATTGTCCCTACCGGTGGGGTCCAGATCACCTTGCTCTCTGTCAGAGATAGGAGGTCTCAGGGTCATGTACAGCGGCAGAGATGGAGAGTGGGGAGTAGAAGGAGGCTGCAGCCCTGTCCAGTGGATGTTGATGGTCCCCATCTTCATGCAGGATGGGTTGAAATCCCTGGCATACCATCATCTGTAGGTGACACTGTCGTAACCTGAAGAAACAGACTTAACAAACAGGAGTTCATGAAAAGGCAGCGGCCCCAAATCAGCAAAAATATTATTGCAATCAGAGGTCCAAGCAGGGGTAGGAACCAGGTCATGTTTGGTAATACCCCTCTGACTGCAGTCCATGTGGAGCTGGCACTGGGGTCACCCTTTCCACAAGTGTGTAGCCATTGGGCCTGTTCCTGTATCTTTTGCATATCTTCTTCCACCTGGCCAGTGGTGTTGATGTAGGTGCAGCACATTTTTTTGATTACTGCACATACCCCTCCCCGTTCAGCTAGCAGACAGTCCAGGGCCAGTCTATTATCCATCACCACACTTGCTAGGAAATAAAGGGGGTTCCCCCATGGTCCTGGCCAGAGGAGACAGAATATCTGGCAGGTTACAAAGCATTGCCTCAAGGTAGGCAGAGTCGCCCATGGGGCCACCAAACAACAGCTGCTCCAGTTCCTGCCAGGATGAGGCCCATCAGCCTCTTATTTCAGAAGTGGCGGATATTATGGATGGATACACCTAGGTTCATCTGATTACTTAGTTGGCCTAGCATGCACTGTCCCGCAAGCAGGGCCTTATCTATCCAAGGCAAGGCCACAGCCAATCCTGGGGAGGGGAAGGAGAGCTGGGGTTGTTCTGAGAAGGCAGCTGGTTTATGTTCAGGCCGCAGAGGGACAGGCGTCTGGGGGAGTGCATGCCTGGTGCACTTCTGAGGAGCTGAGCCATTCCTGTAAGTGGTTTGCCCAAGAGGGTGTACCCACGCGGCTTGAGGAGAGAGGCCACCGTTACAAGAGGGGTCGTGAGGTGTGGGGACTTTTCTCTAGGCCTTAGGAGGGCCATATTGTAAATGCCGGACAACTGGCGTTTTCCCTCCCTCTTCCACTGGTCACTAGGGGCAAGGGGCAGCGAGACAGGCTAGACTCATTGCACCTGAGAATGAGTACTTGGTACTGGTTAGAAATACTAATGTGAGGGGTGAGATCCAAGCATGGAAGCTGCGTTAGGGACGGGATATGAACTTCAAGAGGGATAGGTTTAGCAGAACTGTTGACCAGGGTGGGAGTGAGGTTGTCATTCTTAAGCATAAAGTGTAATACCTTTAATCCGTACGTGTCGCTCTGAGAGTGGGGATGACAGATCCAGCACCGGAATAGATTTTCTCCATGGGCTACAATTCTTGAGAGATTTACTATTGAATTAAATTCCCATTTCCCTAGTGTGGGCACCCAAAAGGAGAGAAAGGTTAGGTCGAATAATGACTTCATGATGGCGGAGGTGAGCTAAAAGTGAACAATCCTTTTTGAACCCAGCATGGACTGAACAGAGCCCCCTCGGGTATAGGTGCTGAACCAAGGCGGCACTCACAAAGGATAATGAGAGTAAGAAGGAACGAGAGGAAGGTATAATAAGCATCCATATCCATCAGAGCATATTAGTTAATTTGTGGGTGGACTGGGGTAACAGGAAGCAAAAGGAAAACAGTGACTATGGGTTCTCAGCCTTGAATTTGTGAAGTTTCTTTGTCCTTCGTAAATAACAATTTCAGGTCTTGAAGAGGTTCACTCAACCTTCGGACTCTTCTGGCCGTCCAAGATCCTCTGTGTCCTCTGAAGACTTGGGGGGAGGGGGAGGTTTGATTCTAGAAAGGTGCACCCAACTAGTGATTCCCCATACTTTCACTACAATAGGAGTGCTGAGAAGGACCTGGTAAGGCTCCTTCCACTTGGGTAATAATTGTTCAGAAGGGGACCCTTCTCTCCATGTTTTTAGGAGGCAAAATCTCCTGGCTGAACCTGAATGGCGTCAGTTTCTTGGCTGGGGCTGGTAAAATCTGATTTCCAGATTCTGAAATTGCCCTTTGGACTTGTCCCAGATTCATCAGTTACTTAGTGAGCTCATTGGTGTCAGTGCCCACCAAAATATCTGAAGGTAAAAAGGGTCTACCTACCGTCAGTCATTTCAAAGGGGCCTGAGCCTTAGCCCCATTTTAGGTGCCACCCTGATTCTCAGGAGGGCTATGGGTAAAAGTTTTGTCCAAGGTTCCGATTTCTCTTGACAAAAGTTTAGCCAGAGTTCTTTTTAAAGTGTGATTTGCCCTTTACACCTTCCCCGATGACTGAGGCCTCCAGGCAGCATGGAGGTGGTAGCAGGTGCCTAGGGCACTAGAGATTTGTTGGGTAACCTTAGCCATAAAAGAGGGACTGTTATCACTTTGTAAAAACCATGCAAGTCTGAACCAAGGAATTATTTCCTTTAATAATGCCTTTAGTACTTCCTGAGCTGTCTCGGTCCTTCCTTGTTGGAAAGGCTTCCACCCATCTAGTATAAGTGTCAGTAAAGACCAGAGGTTTTTATACCCCTGGGAGGATGGCATCTGGGTAAAGACTGTTTGCCAGTCCTACCTGGATAGATTCCTCTTCTTTGGATGGGCTGGAGAAGTGGAGGCCTTAGTTTCCCCCGGGCTTACTATGGTGTCATATATTACAGGCCCTATGACTTCTAGGATAGTCTAGGAAGGCCCATTCCAGAGAAGACTTTCTCTACCAGGTTCATCAAAGCATCCCTTCCCAAATGAGAAGAGTCATGGAATGATTTTTAAAATTTCCACTGTAATGCTCTGGGCAGTAGTATTGTTTTTCCTTAATCCACCAGCCATCAGGGCCTTTTTGGCATCCCCTACTTCTAGCCCACTGTATTTCCTTGATTGTGTACTGAGGTGATGAAAGCGGGTTGCGGGTTGGTACCTGGGGGAGCAAGGCAGCCCGAGTAAAAGGGGTTTTACAAGAGCTACACTCTGTGCCAGGTTGTTTCCTTTTATTATGTCTGAGTTTCCTTTCTGATGTCCCTTGCAGTGAATAACTGCCACCTCCTTAGAGTCTTGTATTGCCTCTGGGAGTTCTAAGAGCTCCTGGCAGTGCTAGATTGGGGAATCCCATGC